GCATGTTCCATGATCGGTCCGTTCCTGTCTTGCCTCGGGTGGTGTCATTATTTTCTTGAGTCTCTGATGCAGTCTAGTTCTACAAGTGCAGAAGTTGAAGAGATGAATTTGTATTGTGCTGAGGGCTTGAACAAAGATTTCAAAAATCACTGATGAAATTTTTTGTAAAGGCATCGTCAGAACTACGAGAGATGCAGGAAGGCATTGCACTGTAGCACATTCAATTCCTACCTATTCATATCAACATTAGTCTACGGAATATGAATACTAAAGGAGATAATTAAGTCGATTTGTGTGATAATTGCATAATTGTGTGGTTCTGAGTGTGTTCATTTTCTGAGAACATTACGAGGTCAGTGAAATTAATAACTTTCACTGATTGACCGCCATTCAGTTGCGGTGAGTACCCTTCAGTTTACATCATTTTCTCCCGATTTTCTCCAACCTCCCGGACTTTATTCAAATGTTTCACGACATCACAAGTTCTGAGTGCTGAAAATGGTAACGTTATGGCATTTGCATTGTTATATTCTCAGTTCCGAAAGGTTAGTGAAACTAGGAACTGAGTATTTTGTAGTGAGAAGAGATTCATCGCCCACTTCATCTAAATTTCTTCGAACTTCAGTATGTTGGGTCGTTTATTTTCGCAGAATATGCTGAATTGTGAACAATTTTTCGTGTTCTTTCATAGGGATTTAATTGTAAGAGAAACCCTATGACCTGTTCAATGAAACAATTCATACGTATTCATGATTCATATGTATTCATTCATATGCACAAATTCATATGTGCCTTTAAGTTTGCTTAAAAACAGAGCGCTACACAGCGCTACGAAATGAATTTTCAATAGTGTCGGTTCGCATTGCTCGGATTTCAGCCAAACGTTTCGTCCAAAAGAAATTACTTTAGCACTTTAAAAAAGGATTATGATTTAGCTTCGACTTCCTTTCATTGAATTGTAATTCTCTTTGAAAACATTGTTATGTATCATGGATTTTCACGCTGGCTGATAACGTTATCAGATTTATATTCATCTTCTAAAAGACTGAAACCTTAAAATTGACGACTGCTATCCTGTCCGAAACGTTGATTCGTTAAAAATAACGAAGATCAGTGGAAAAATGTCGTTTTTAACCATGCGTAAGCTTTCATTATTGTGTGTTGCAGGTGATTCGCATTCCTCATAGTTCTCGGCCCCAGAAGTTTTGTTCGCCCCGGATTCCCGTCAGTTACGGAGCCGGAAAATAGTTCCAGATCTACTCAACTGGTCGATCCGGTAGAATGCGTGCAGTTATACAAAGGGTTCATAAGGCGGCAGTGCTTGTCGGCGAAGAATTGGTATACTATTTCCTTTCATTAGTTCAGAATTTTGTGAGAGAATTTAAATTGTCATAGACTTTACGAAAGAAATCGTCATAAAGTGAATAATTCAATAACGGTTCCATCATTTAACCGTTATGGTCCATTAAGGCCGTTTTAGTTCATTTCAAAGAAAACTCCAGGAAAGTCGGAGATTCCAGCCGAGCTCCCATCTTATTGGAATATTTTTTACGGTTGTATTTCAATGAATTTATGCAGATCTCATCCATCGACCGTGGAATCTGCGTTTTGATTGGACTGAATCGGGACGATAGTGACGAGGATGCGGAGTATATTGCTCGGAAGTTGGTTAATGTGAGACTTTTCGAGAATAAAGAAACTGGAAAACGATGGGATAAAAGTGTCAAAGATATGCAATATGAAATCCTATGTGTTAGTCAGGTAATATCTTCGATATAAAAGTTTAATCGAGCTTTCTTTAATTTTACAAATACGGCCTTTTTTGGGAGGATGCATTTGTTAATATAGCAAACCACCATTAAGTAGGGCATTTCTAGAAATTATTGCAGTTTAATATTAAATTTTGAGTCGATTTCGATCCGAACTCTTAGCAAGTTGAATACTAATACGTAGGGCTTGAGATAATAATTTGCTTTGTGGGCATTGGAAATTGCATGCAGATCTTTGTAACAAGCTCTGTAATCGATGATATGTGTGGCTAATATTGGAACGATTATTTCAGTTTACCTTATTTGGCGTATTGAAAGGTAACACAATAGATTATCATCGATCAATGGCGCCTGATAAGTCACCCGAGTTTTATGCGAAATTTATTGAGCAACTGAAGAAATCATATGTTGCTGATAAAGTGAAGGTACAGTTTTGTTTTGGTTGAATCTGAAGCATTAGTTTCAGTTTCAAGGGCGGTCGAAATGCATGTATTCGATTCGAATCAGTTGAGAAAATCTTCTAGAATCGTATCTGAAGTTATCTGCGGCATTAAATTTTAAGAATTTTGAAGGTACAAGTGGTGTGAACCCAAGTGTTATAACTTTCCAGAAGTAGAAGCATGTTGGAAATGGAATGAAATTTCAGGATGGAAAGTTCGGTGCCTATATGAATGTGCAAATCGAGAACGATGGACCAGTAACAATTTTATTGGATAGTAAAGCAAGAGACTATTGAGATTTACTAGGCAGTGTTATGAGCTGACAGCAAAAACTACGGGTACGAAGTGGGTTATATTGTGCAACAATGAAACTGAGATGATTTCACTAATCTGTTCATGTAGACGATTTTAGGAATGAATTATTCTGTCGGTATTTGTTAACTTGTATGAATGTACGCGTCGTTTGGACTCTATATTCTTTGTTTTGTTTTGAAATTCTATGATTTTATATTCTATGTATGTTTTTTAACTTTCATTCCTGTTTGGAAATTCACAAATAAATGTGATTTGTAAATAAATATTCGTAATAAATTTATCTGTAAGTTCTGTTTGTTGATCGTAACACATTATGGGGATAAAGGAAATCTGCAGCAGTAGACTGAATTTTGAGCAACTGTCGTGCTTATAACGGCAGTTGATTGGGATTTTGGGGTCTTAATCCAAATTTTTGTGACAATGAAATTATTCCATCCAATTAGAGGTCGTTTAGTTCGCAATGAAACTGAATTTAATTTGGTCCGCTTAACATCTTGTACAAGCTAAATTGTTATCATAATAGTAGCTCAGTATTTAATTCAAGCT